AATCCACTCACTTCAGCCTCCCAAGGCACGGGATTACAGGCTGAGCCACCAAGCCCAGCTTACTGTTTTTTCGAAGACTAGCAAATATATTATATCAAACCACTTACCAATATAACATCTGACAAAGAGCTTTAATTTAGATTTTTAAAAGCTACATGATACAAGTATTTATATACAAAATAAATATATTATGATATCGTAGTCTCTTAATGCAAAATGCAGGAATTGTCACACTGGGTTAGATGCATGGCTCATCTAATTTAATCTCTTGACTCTAACAAAGGTGACAAGGAAAGAATCATACACTATTACTGCTCTTTAATCCATCTCTAGAATAAAGAATATTTCTCAAAGTTTTGTTGGTAACTCACTGAGCAATTTATCTATTATTATAATCTGTATTTCTAGCTTTTATAAACTATTATAAATAATGGCTACCATAAATTAAGATTCCAAATGTATTTGTTTCCTCTAGAATGTGATGTAATATATTACTTCAGCATTTAGAAATTTAGATTTTTTTTTTAAATTAGGGACAGGGTCTTGCTATGTTGTCCAAGGTGATCTTGAACCCCAAGTCTCAAGCAATTCTTCTACCTCAACCTCTCAAAAGTACTGGGATTATAGGAGTGAGCCACTGTGCCCAGACAATTCTGATCTTTACTCATATGTAAAGATGACATAAGAGCCTGCTTTGAGTTGAAAGAGAATGCCAACAAATGGGACTTTAGAACTGGACAGACTTGGGTTTAAGTCCAAGCTCTGTCGCTTAATTAGCATGTTCCTTCGAGCAAGTTACAAAACCTCTCTGAATCTTATTTTCTATCTGTGAAATGGCCATTGTCTCACATAATGCTGTTATATATGTACTAAGAGCCTATGGTGTGTAAAGAAAGCATGGTGCTTGGTTAGAGAAAGTATTCAGTGTTAGGGTCCCCACTTTAGGAAATTAGAGAACTTCAACACTGAGAAGACTAATAAAGAATGAACCTGACACAAGGAATGAATGTAACATTATGAGTAGCTATATAATTAACATAGGCCAGGTTCAGTGGCTCAGCCTGTCATGCCTGCACTTTGGGAAGCCAAGGCGAGTGGACTGTCCTAGCCCGCGGGTTCGAGACCAACCCGGGCAACTTGGGGAGACATCATCTCTAGAATTACTCCAAAATTAGCTGGATGTGATAGCGCAAGCCTGTAGCTCCGGCTACTCAAAAGGCTGAGGCGGAAGGATTGCCCAAGCCCAGCAGGTCAACGCTGTGGTGGCCATGCGTGTGCATGCTACTGCACTCCAGTCTGGGCGAAGGAGTGAGACTCCAACTCAAACAAATAAACAAACAAAAAATTAACATAAGACTTTGTGCCATGAAATCAATCAACTCAAAAGAAGCCTACAGCCCTAGAGTTTACGTCAGAGGTCCCCAACCTTTTTGGCATCAGGGTCTGGTTTCGTGGAAGACAATTTTTCCATGGACGAGGAGATGGGGGGAGGGATCATCAGGCATTAGATGCTCATAAGGAGTCTCCAACCTAGATCCCTCACATGCGCAGTTCACAATAGGGTTCACGCTCCTGTGAGAATCCAATGCTGCAGCTGATCTGACAGAAGAAGGAGCTCAGGCTGTAATGTGAGCAATGGGGAGCAGTTGTAAATTCAGAAGAAGCTCGCCCACTGCTCACCTCCTGCTGTGCAGCCCCATCCTGGTCCGTGGTCCAGAGATTGAGGACCCCTGGTTTAGGTATTTATACATACTTTATAATGACTTCATTTCATCCTTATAAAAAAGAAACATCTATAAAGTAAGCAAAACTAGATGTATGTTCCTTTTTCTATTTTCCTTTCACAAACAGAAAATCGAGATTCCAGGAAATCAAACAAGTTGACCAAAGAGCAGGTAATATTCTCTAAGTCCTAGATTAACCCTCATTCCTCTTAATCAATACTTCTTCCAATATACCACAATAATCCCATGCTATCACTGACTTCAGCAATAAACAAATCAATATGAGAAGATTAAAGCTAGTTACCAATAAGTGTAAATGAGCACACAAAATTAAGCAACATACTACAAGCCAGAAAACTATTTAATCTGCAATTTTTTTGCAAAAAAGTTTGGTTTTGGTCAATGTCTAGGATTTAGATAACATTAACTCAAGCCGATAACTACACAGCATTTCTTGACTATAAAAAGCAGTAATGTTTTTTAAATGCAGAAATACTCAACTATTAAGTAATCAGACAATGAAGTTTCATAACAATAAAAAGGAGTGACCTAGAGAATGGATAGCTTGAGGCAGGACATGGTAGCTCACACCTATAACCCCAACACTTTGGAAGGCAGAGGCGAGAGGACTGGCTGAGCCAGGGGTTCGAGACCACCCTGGACAATTTGACGAGACCTCGTCTCTACAATAAATCAAAAAATTATTTGAGCATGGTGGCGCACACTTGTGGCTCCAGCTACTTGGAAAACTGAGGTGGAAGGATCACCTGAGACCAGTAGGTCAAGGATGCGGTAACTGTGATGCTCAACTCAAAAAAGAAAAAAAGAGAGTAGATAGCCTGGAATTCCATTCCAGTTATCATCATGTCTCTGGAACCTAGTCTTGATGAATAAAATAAAAGGGTCAGACTGGATATGATTTCTACAACAGGTAATTTTATATAATGACCAGCCAATTAAATGTGCAATTTAAAATTCAAATAAAAACAAAAGATAGAAATAAATTTGGCAAGAGCCAACCTCATCTTCAAATTTTCATCATTAAAAGACAGCTCTCCTCTGGGAGTGCTGAGGCTGAAAAATAATCATCTTGCAACTATCAGAGTACAGAACAGTTCAGGCCAGAATCATAAGTGAATAACAAGTCTAGAGGGAAATTGTAATGGGGAATAGGATATTTGCAAGTCTGTGAGCCTCCCCATAGACTGTTTATTGTTGTAAAGGAGAAAATATTAGCAACACAGTGGAAAAAATATGAGTGATCAATAACAACTAATATTAACATGGAGAGAGATACCATGTGCTTCTAAATGTCAAACATTGAGAGAGACGCCCCATCATTTATGTTAATTTTTCAGCCTGGAATGTGCAACCTAAGTCTAATGGTAAAGAAGCATTTGGCAACCCCAAATGAGAAACAATGTATTAAATAAAAGGGGGCTGAGCCGGGCTTGGTGGCTCAGCCTGTAATCCCATGCCTTTGGGAGGCTGAGGTGAGTGGATTGCCTGAGCCTGCGGGTTCGAGACCCGCCTGGGCAGCGAGACCTCATCTCTACAATAAATCAAAAAATCAGCCGGGCGTGGTAGCACATGCCTGTAATTCCGGCTACTTGGAAGGCTGAGGCGGAAGGATCGCCGGATCCCAGCAGGTTGAGGCTGTGGTGGCCGGGAGCGGCCACTGCACTCCAGTCTGGGTGACAGAGTGAGACTCCAACTCAAAAAATAAAAATAAAAATAAAAATAAAAGTGGCTGTAGTCATAAATCATTTCAGGCCATGCCATCAAAGGCAGAGTTGTGGAAATGTTAATGTTCCAATTTACTATTTTTATTTTTATATCAAGTTTCAAACATTTTTAGTATTTTTTTTTTTTGAGTTGGAGTCTGTCACCTAGGCTGGAGAGGGCAGTGGCACCCTCCCAGTGCTGGGCTCAGGCGATCCTTACTCCTCAGTCTTCCAAGTAGCTAGAACTACAGGCACGTGCCACCATGCCCGGCTAATTTTTTGATTTATTGTAAAGATGAGGTCTCGCCAAGTTACCTAGGCTGGTCTCAAACCCGCGGGCTCAGACAATCCTCTCACCTCAGCCTCCCAAAGTGCTGGGATTATAGATGTAAGCCACCGTGCCCAGCCTAGTTTTTATTATATAAAACACTTCACAAAGTTGTATGTCATCCTTGTGCAGGGGCCCTGCTAATCTTCCCATATTGTTCCCATTTTAGTGTATAAGCTGCCGAAGTGAGCACAAAATGTTCCAATTTAATGAAAACTAAGTGCAAAATCTGACTTTAGGATCACGTACTGGGAGAAAATGCTATAAAGACATTATTTGGGCTGTTTGATAAAATTATAATGTGGATTAAAGCATGTATATTAATATTAAACTTTTTGAAGTTTATAACTGAACTGTGTTTACGAAAGGGAACCCTAACAAAAAATAAAATTTATTTATAAAAATTTGCGTACTTAGCCGGGCTTGGTGGCTCAGCCTATAATCCTGTGCCTTTGGGAGGTTGAGGTGAGTAGATTACCTGAGGCCGCGGGTTCGAGACCCGCCTGGGCAACTTGGCGAGACCTCATCTCTACAGTAAATCAAAAAATTAGCTGGGCGTGGTAGCACGTGCCTGTAGTTCCAGCTACTTGGAAGGCTGAGGCGGAAGTATCGCCGGAGCCCAGCAGGTGGAGGCTGCGGTGGCCGGGAGAGGCCACTGTACTCAAAAAACAAAAAAAATTGCATACTTATTCTTAGATGTTTAAACTCCAGTAACCTTCAAAGTACTCTGCATTTGATGCAATACACCTATCTAGATGCTTTCTCCCCTTCTAACAACAGTTTCTGAACTCATCAATTTTTTTTTTTGAGTCGGAGTCTCACTCTGTCACCCAGACTGGAGTGCAGTGGCCGCTCCCGGCCA